CCTATAAAATTTGTGCCAGAGGTTCTTCATAGTTGCGTTCCTAAAATTGAAAATTGAACCAAAAACGATTTTTCTAACTTATACTAGGAGACAAAATATCGGTCAGGTTCTTTAAATTAGAGTTGATTGACTTCTTAAAGTAGATTACTCTATATATCAATATTTTCTTTGAATTCCAAACCACGAAAAAAGTTTAAATTCCAGAAAGTTAATCAAACTTGCTTATCCTTATCCAATTCTACCAACTTCACAGACTGTCCACTGTTTCACACCATCAGTGTAATCATCCATCTACCCAATTTTTTACTAGTCTAATCATCCATCTACGTAATTTTCTATGAGATTAATTAATGTTTTACCAGTCTAAACATCTCTTTGTTTACTTTTTTTACCAGTATAAACATCTATCTGCCTAATTTTTTACCAGTGTAATCATTTACCTGTCCAATTTTTCACAGGTCTAATCATCTACTAATTTTTTACCAATCTAATCACCTATCTAAGGTCTAATTTTTTAACTGTCTTGTCATCATCTATTTGTCTACATCTTTCACCAGTCTAATCATCTACCTCTCTAATTTCCTACCAGCCTGATCATCTAGCTGTCTACTTTTTTACTACTACTACTTTTTTCACCAGTCTAATCATCTATTTGTCTACATCTTTCACCAGTCTAATCATCTATGTGTCTACTTTTTTCACCAGTCTAATCATCTATTTGTCTACTTTTTTCACAAGTCTGATCACCTATCTGTCTAATTTTATATGAATCTATTTATATATCTGTCTAATTTTTTCACCAGTCTAATAATCTATTTGCCTAGTTCTTTCACCACAGTCTAATCATCTATTTGTCTACTTTTTTCACCAGTCTGATCATCTATCCGCCTAATTTTATACCAATCTATTTATCTATCTGTCTAATTTTTTCACCTGTCTAAGCATCTATCTGTCTAATTTCCTACCAATCTAATCATCTATCTACCTAATTTCTTACCAGTCTAATCATCTATCTGGCCACCTTTTTGTCAGTCTAATCATCACCGTTTTTATACATCCATCTGGTTACTTTTTTCACCAGTCTAATCATCTATCTGTCTACTTTCTTCTTCACCAGTCTAATCATCTGTCTGTCTACTTTTTTTCACCAATGTAATCATACAAAAATTTAATTTTTTACTAGTCTAATCATCTCTCTATTTGTCTAATTTCTTACCAGTATATTTTCCCATCTATCTAATTTTTACCTGTCTAATTATCTACCTGTCTAATGTTTACCCATCTAATTATCTATCTGTCTAATCTCTAATTTCTTAGCAGATATAATTATCTGTCAATCAAATTTCCTACCAGTCCAATCTCCCTACCAGCCTAATTCTCTACCAATCCTGTTCTCTACCAGTCCAATTCTTTACCTATCTAATTTTTTACCTGACTAATTATCTATTTGTGTACATTTTTTATATTATCTTTCAGTAACAGTCATGACATTTATTTCGATTCATTTACAATAATTTGTATCAATTTTAGATACGTTTTTCAAACTATTTTGAATAACTTTGCTTTTGCAAAATTTATTTTTATATATACAGAAAAACATTGATAACTCTTCATACACTTGCTTTAAATTATATACAATGACTATGCCATATCTTTTATATTATTATGTGAAAATTACAATGACTTATAAATATTCAACTAAAATAAATTGTTTAAAGAACATATTTAATAACTTACGTGTCACACCGATAAAATTTGCTTTGCATACACATAACATTGTTCTGTAACACTTTATCATTATTGTAAACCACCAAACCAAAATATTATCACAAGTTTGTAATATTTTCAAGTTAATAGTATTCACAAATATGACATGTGTTTGCTTAGTAACAGTTCTCAGCTTCTTTACGTAACTAAAAACAACACGCACTAGTTATATTGATTTATGAATAAATTAATTCACAGTAATTAAATCGCAATAAAATAATTAATTTTTCAGATATAAAAGATTGATGTAGTCGTTCTTGGTGAATGAAAGTGAAACAGCGAAGAAAGCGCGAGTGCCAATGTCTGTTGGAGTAGTTGATAATATTGTTAAACTTTCAAATTTATGTAAAATATTTTTTACAAAAGCTTTGTTTTGGGTAAAAATAAGACATTTAGATTAAATTATACAATGATAAGAGTTATCAGCGAACCGGCTGGATATATTTAGATATAGTTATTGTACGCAATAAACTTGAATTCTAGATTTTGGATTTTAGAAGATTTTCCATAGCACAGATTGACGTAAAAGATAAAAGACAACTATATAAGTACCTATCCCAACCAGGATATATTTCGCCAGAAACATAATATTTACATAAGAAAATTTAATATTTCACAAAAATTAAGGGCCAATTTTCAGGTAAACTAGTGGGTGGGTGGCATCGTGCCTTAAGGCAAATTGCTGGAACTTCCCGTACCGTAACGAAATGTTCGAGGAATATTGAATGTTTTCAAATAGATTATTATAAATGTAACATTGTCTAATATTTATAAGAATTATATAAACTGAATTGCAGAGTTGAAATTATTTGTTTAAAGTATATTAGAACTATAGTCAGAATTAAAATAAAATCTGAATTATTTTCGATATACAAAAAAATTAAAAATTTAAAAAAAAAAAAAAAAATGGTACAAATTTTTTTTTTCCAAAATCAATTATTTTGTTAAGACAAGCAGAAAGTTCTTTGAATCAATTGAATCGGACGCTTAATTCTCTCAAAAACTGCCATTTTTTGTACATTTAGCTCTGTATCTCCGAAATGGCTGGGCCTGCCTTTGCGAAAAACTAATAACCCCTTCTCCCCATCATTACTAATTGAATGTTTTTAGATCATTCAAATCGGATGCTCTGTTCTCTCAAAAACTCGATTTCTATTTTCTGCACTCTTTGCTCCTTATCTCCATAACTGCTGGACCTGCCTTTGCCAAAAACTAATCAGCTCTTCTCCTTATCAATAGGAATCGTATGGCTATGGCAACGCTGTGTTCTACCTGCATCACAAAGATGCTGTTATGATAACATTCTTTTTTCGGCGTTCTAATCTAAAATACCCCTGATCACACAGCAAATATATAACATTTTTACAGTATTTAGTACCAAGAAAGAAGAATAAGATAGCATTGCCATAACAACGCTATGTTAACGTCCATTTTACCGCAGAATTGGCCCTTTAATGAAAATACTTTTGGCATTAGTTCAATCTGTCTACTTCTTTCACCAGTCTAATCATGGTGGCAGTACATCTAAAAATGAAATATTTTATTTGCGAATAAAACATGAATTTATTTGAACTTTATTTTACTAAATTTTTAAATTTATCTGTTAAATTTAAACACCAAACAATTAAAATTTAAAGAAATCATGCAGATACTTTTGACTTTTGTTCTTAATATCGTCTAGCAGTTTAATATTTCTTTTTTAAATTAAGTGTTAGTCAAACTTATAAGGGCTTAATTCTCCGTTAACATAGACGACAACATAGTTGTTATGGCCGACGCTATCTTATCCTTCTTTCTTCGTACTAAAAACTGTGAAAATGCAATCTATTTGTTGTACGAATTTTCAAAATCGGTTCAGCATTTTTGCCGAAAACGTAGGCCAATACTTTAGCCTTATCTGGTACATATAAAGAAACCGCTCGGTCATTTCGCAAAGGTAATCAACGATAGTGCTTATCAATTAAAAAAAAAACTTTGAAATTTTTGAAATCGGTGCAGCCGTTTTTGATAAAACGTTGACGGTTTAATTTCGACTCATATACATTCATACGTACTTTTTCAAATTCAAGTATAAAATTCTTAAAATTTAAGCCCAGAAAACATAATTTAGCCAATTTTGACAAAATCAAACTTCTACTACGGGAAGTAAAAATAAAATATTATAACTCCGCTCTTTCGTTTTTTTAAGTGCCTTAACTTTTAAAACAGTTGTATGATTTTGTGAATTTTAACTTAGGCCTCTTACAAGAAAAGATTTTACACTAAAAACAAAACTTTTAATAAAATTATGTTGCATATAATATTCATTCTATTCGATATTCGGTATGTATGATTAAAACAAATTTGAAATACTTGACAAAATATAAAGTAATTAATTAAATAATTTGCAAAAATGTGCAAAAAATGAATTTTGAAATATTCAGCTTTTATCTTGCTATATGATATCTTAAGAGTATTTTTAAAAAAATAATTAACTATGTTAAATTGGCGATTAACAGAATATAGTTGTTATGGCACAAGCACTTCTAAACCGCTATGAGACTCGGCTTGAAAAACTTTGTTTATTGAATATTATATGTCGCACAAATACCGGTATTTCCCACTATAAAAAAACTATTCACCGAACTCAATGACAAATGATCACGAACTGAACTGTTTTAAATTTTAACCAATTATATATTTAAAAACATTAGATGAGCACACGATGCTACTCCAGAGGCTCCAAGCAAAAAACTAAATAAACGACAGCGACACTTATATTTAAGTGTATTTAGACTAATTGCCCGTTGAATTTGCATAAATGATAAAAAGCAAGTGGCAATTTTGTCATTTATCCGAAACAAAAGAACTTTTCAAAGCATATAATTATAAGAAAATAAAGTCAAATAATTACCCTTTATCTTTGTTCGTTTGTATTATTAAAAAGTCATGGCAAGAAGCGCGTGGCTCGAACGAAATTATCGATAATTTTAAATACAAATTATTCTACAATGAGAAGCAAGATTTTGCTTGGAGCTGGAAACGATGGTAAATACAACACACGAGCTATTGCAAATATTTGTCGCATCACTAAAAATAACATATTTGTTCAGATAAAAAATTAGAGCTGGAAAAATGTAATAGACAAAATTTATCTTTATCAATGGTTAACCAACAGTTTTGTTAATTCATCTACAATATAAAAATGAATCGCAAAATGTGTTGATAAGCGCATAACTCAACAACGCCTGGACCAATTTCCCAATCGAATAATTGCCGGGAAAACCCGAAAATCAGCCCTTTTCTTTTTCACATACAAACGTTAGTATTTTTATATTTTTGCCACCGAATGGAGCGTTTTGGGTCTGAATTTTTTTTACTGTGCTCCAATTCGTATGAAATTTTGAAATTAGGTTTATCTTACTCTCAAGTTCCAAAGTGAAAATAATTTAGACTCTTTTGCCATTTCCCGGGGAATGACATTTCTCTCAGTTGTGTAATTTTTTTTTTTAAATAACGCCGGATATTGATAAAAAACTAATTATACGAAAAAAATGTTTCAAAAAAGCAAATCATTTCATTTAAAGTAGTTGTACATTTAAGATCCATTGGGTGGATGTATATACCTTTCGGTGTAAACTGTAGTGTAAAAAAAACATAATAATTTTTAACTAATTGGTAAATATCAGTTTAAAAAAAATGAATAAGTACAGGACAATGTCTGTCGGGTCATCTAGTTTCTAATATATATAGGTTTTCTGCAAGAATATTTGCCTAGTACTTCTGTTGAAAGGAAATTGAACAACAAAAATAAGAAAAGTTAATATAATCAGAAATTCGAAGATTTTTTTTCAAATAATTGATGATATTATAATACTAAAAGGGCATAATTTTATTTATTTACACAAATAGTATTTAAAATGTGATAATTCCTTAACAATGATACAAATTCTCCAATAAAATGAAAATGTAAAATGGCATTGTTATGGCAACGCTATGTTATGGTTCATATAAATTGGTAGTAAAAAACTTTTAAAATGCTACATTACTAAGTACATTTTTTACGTATTTTAAAACACATGTCACACTTCTAGTCAAATTATAAGTACTCCGTAAATTAGTCTTTGTTGAAAATATTAGGTAATCAATAATCAATAAGCATTTCCGAAAAAAAAATTACAAAAAAAAAAATAGAAAATCGAATTCGACACAAATTATTCCTAAGTTCTAACTATTCCAATATATCGAAACTACTGTACAGTTTCAATCATAAACAAAACAATTTGCCTATTTGGGAAGTTCATTAATCTAAATCAGACCTAAATAGTGACAAGCAAAAAGGGGTCACCAATTCCTACTTAAATGGACGGATATAGGCAATGATAAAAAAGGAGATTCTTCTGAAGTTCTAATATGTGACAAATATATACCAAAATAGTTAGCCAAAAAGAAGAATAAGAGCTAATCCACATACATACTTCCTAATTCTTATTTCTAGTGTGACTATTAGTACACCCTATCTTGGTCTTTGTATGAAACATTAGGAGCACCATAATCGATATGAATTTTCTAAAAAAAAAAAAACTAAGTAAATCGAGCTTGACACAAATTATCTCTAAGATCTCAACTATTTCAATATACCAAAACTATTGTATAGTTTTATTACTTTCAATTGTAAGCGAAACAATTTTCCTATTTGGGAAATTCATTAATTTAAATGAGGCCTAAATAGTAGCAAGCAAAAGGAGTCACCAATTGCTATTTAAATCGACGGAAGTTTATAGGCAATATCAAGAGAAGTAATATATTGATATATAATGTATACACATAGTAATAATATTCTGAACATTACAAAAAATAATAAAATTAAATTATTACAAACTCGTTTAAACCTAAGCGCTTGTTAGGAAAAAATAAGAGATAAAGGTATAAAATGAGTAAAAAAATCAAAATAAACGGTCACCCAAGAAAAGAAGAGTGAAAGCAATTTCAAATACATATGTTATGAATTATTTATATTTATAAT